CCCCAAGCACCAAGAAGACAGAGCATCACTTGCCCCAGAGCCCCTATCTATACCTTGTGGCTAATAGCCACTGATGGACCTCTTCTCTTAACATAACAGAAACCATGATGGATCAGGCCAATGGCCCATCCAGTCCAACACTGTGTCACCCAGGAGCCAAAACTCAAGGGCCATCAGGAGGTCCACCAGCAGGGCCCGAACACCAGAAGCATTCTCACTGTTGCCCCACAAGCACCAAGAAGACAGAGCATCACTGCCCAAGACTGAGTGTTCCATCTATAAGAACATAAGAAGAAGCCGTGTTGGATCAGGCCAATGGTCCATCCAGTCCAACACTCTGTGTCACACAGTGGCCAAAACCCAGGAGCCATCAGGAGGTCCACCAGCGGGGTCAGAACTCCAGAAGCCCTCCCACTGTGCCCCCCCCCAACCACCAAGAAGACAGAGCACCACTGACCCGGACAGAGTGTTTCATCTATCCCTTGTGGCTAATAGCCACTGATGGAGCTCTGCAGAGCAAACCCATGAATGCAGGGAAGTTCTACAGGGAAGTAGATACTACAACAATTACACAATCCACCCCCAAACCCAATCGGAGGTGTTGGTTTTTACCTTTAAAGTCCTACAGGGCTTGGGACTGGGTTATCGGACCGTCAACTTCTATATGCTTCTGCCCAAGAACTGAGATCATAGGAAGGAACCTTCCTGACCAACCCATCAATCAAAAAACCTCATTTGGTGGGCATACAACACAGGGCCTTTTCGGTGGCAGCCCCAAGATTATGGAACAACCTCTCCGGGGAGGTGTACCTGGCCCCCTCACTTTTGATCTTTTGGAGGCAGGTGAAAAAGGTTTTACTTAGGACTGCGCTTGGTCAGGTTTCCTTGCAGTCCTGAGTTGAGATTTTAAATTTTGGGAGTTTTATGTTTTTCATATATTCTATTTTTATGCGTTTTATCTATATTATAAGCCGCCACGAGCTCCGTAAAGAAGAAAGATAGCTAATAAATGTTTTTTTTAAAGAATTCCCTAACAACATAGGGTCTAGAGCAAGTAACCTGGGTGGAAGCGGCCTGAAAAAAGCTCTCCTAAAACAGAGTTATGTTACAGGGCTATTTTTGGGCAGGAACGCGCAGGAACGGAGTTCCGGCTGGCTCCCAAGTCTAGAGCAAGTAACCTGGGTGGAAGCGGCCTGAAAAAAGCTCTCCTAAAACAGAGTTATGTTACAGGGCTATTTTTGGGCAGGAACCCAGCAGGAACTCATTAGCATAATAGGCCACACCATAATAGGCCACACCCAGTGGCAGGAACTCATTAGGATTGGCTACATTAGGGGTATGGAGCTGCGGTGGCTCAAGTGGTTAAGACGCTGAACTGCAGGCTGTGGAAGGTCAGTAGTTCAGCAGTTCAAGACCCGGGTGCCGATTAGCATAATAGGCCACACCCAACAGCAGAAACTCATTAGAATTGACTACATTAGGGGTGGGTGGCCTAACATGCAAAGGAGTTCCTGCTACAAAAAAGCCCTGGGTTTTGACAACAAACAAGGTAAGCAGAATAAGAAGCAAAAGGTGGGTGTGGCTGGATGAGCACACTTCTGGTAACACGGGGGTGTGGCCTAATATGCCAATGAGCTGTGCTGTCATGGGTGTGGCCTAATATGCTAATGAGTTCCTGCGGGGCTTTTTCTACAAAAAGAGCCCTGGACTATGTACCTTGACTTCAATGGACTTAGAAGGAGGGAACTCTGCTTACGGGGGAGGTTCCAAGTTACAGACGCATCCCTTGACTTGCATCTTTGTGCAACCTGATTGGCCACAACCTTCCCTGTGGCAGGGCAACGCCCCTTATCAATCCCTCCTCCCCGCCCCGGAGCCCTGCCCCCTTTTCCTTACACTCCGCTTTGGCACAGATGAGGCTGGCCGAGGGATAGTTGAAGGATTTGAGAATGCGGGACACGGCGAGGCTGACGTCCTCGTTGCTGGGGTAGAGGCTGACGGAGGCAAAACGAAGGTACTGGAGCTTCGGGGTCTCCTCGGGACCCACCTTAATATGGGGGATCTAGAGGAGGCAGGGGAAAAAAGGGTCAGTCAGTTGGAGAGCGAATTTTCTCTCTTCCTATCCCATGGTTGACAGGTCCGGGTGGATCGAAATCCTCGACTGAAGGAACTCAGATTTTGCAGGACAGGAAAATCTCCAAACTCTGTAACGCCACAAAATCATGCAAATTTGACATGATCTTGCACAATCGCTGCTCAATAGAGAGCATTTTAACATACTGTGTCTGTGTCTGGTTTGCCAGTTGTACGGCTGTGGAGAGGAAAGCACTCCAGAGAGTTATCATCACAGCCCAGAAGATTATTGGCTGTCCTCTCCCACTCATGGAGGAATTGTATAGTTCTCGATGCTTGAAAAAAGCAAAGAACATTCTGCAGGATTTGTCACACCCTGAACACTCCCTGTTTGAACTGCTGCCTTCGGGTAGAAGATATAGGACAATCAAAACAAGGACAAACAGATTAAAAAAACAGTTTTTATTCGAGAGCTATTATTGCTTTAAATGCTGTATGAATTGGAATTTGGTGGTTTTGTTGACATGGGTGGTTAAGTTGCAATGTGAACCCTAATGGTTGTGTGAGTGTATATGAGTATGGTTGTGTGAGTGTATATGAGTATGGTTGTGTGAGTGTATATGAGTATGGTTGTGTGAGTGTATATGAGTATGCTTGTAGATCACCGAATGATTGCACCTTAATTTCGTTGTACTATGTACAATGACAATAAAGTATATTATTATTATTAATTGCCCTGTAATTAAACACATTCAGTGGACTGCAGAATTTTTGTTTCTTCTTTTTGGTCACAAACTGAGAGACCCACGAGAACGCACACCGAGCTGCCTTAGTATATCAAGGTCAGTATTGCGTACTAAGAAGAGGGGGAGGAGGTTGGATTTATACCCCGCCCTTCACTTGGAGTCTCAGAGCGGCTTACAACCTCCTCTCCCTTCCCCTCCCCACAGCAGACACCCTGTGAGGTAGGTGGGGCTGAGAGAGCTCTTTATATTATTATTATTATTATTATTAATTGCCCTGTAATTGAACACATTCAGTGGATTGCAGAATTTTTGTTTCTTCTTTTCGGTCACAAACTGAGAGACCCACGAGAACACACACACCAAGCTGCCTTAGTATATCAAGGTCAGTATTGTGTACTAAGAAGAGGAGGAGGAGGTTGGATTTATACCCCACCCTTCACTTGGAGTCTCAGAGCGGCTTACAACCTCCTCTCCCTTCCCCTCCCCACAGCAGACACCCTGTGAGGTAGGTGGGGCCGAGAGAGCTCTTTCCAGAACTGCCCTTTCAAGGACAGCTCTGAGAGAACTATGGCTTACCTAAGGTCATCCAGCAGCTGCAAGTGGAGGAGTGGGGAATCAAACCTGGTTCTCCCAGATTATTTATTTATTTATTTTTGGGATTTCTATCCCGCCCCATCCAATATACAGCTCGAGGCGGCTAACAAACGGCCATGCCGAAGTTACCCACTGCCTGATCCTTTTAAATGGAGGTGTTGGGAATTGAACCTGGGACCTTCTGCATGCCAAGCAGAGTCTCTTCCCACTGAGCCACAGTGAGAAGAATGGGAGTGATAAGTAGAGGTGGTAAGACAAAGGGAGGGGATGTCTGTGTGTGGAGAAGAGCCCGAGAGTGGCAGTGAGTGAAAAAGGCCTTTTCCTCTTGACTGAAAGCTCTTCCCAAGCCCTCGGTTGTTTCTAACCTTCAAGCAGAAACTGCCCGGGTATTTTTTAACTTCCCGAAACTCAGTCTGTGTTTCTGGAGCTGCGGATTCTGTCCCAGGGCGATTCTGCATCTAGCATTCGCTCCACATTTTCTCAACTGGGAGGGGAAAGTGCAACTCACAACCAGTGTTCCCTCTAAGCTGAGTGAGTGTGAGCTAGCGCACAGGTTTTTAGTCTCCGGCTCACACATTTTTGTCTTAGCTCAGGAAGGAGGGCTCCAAAGGAAACGAATTTATGCGGTAGCCAAATGGCTCGCTCACAAGTTTAAATGCCCGTAGCTCACAAAGTTGAATTTTCGCTCACAAGACTCCACAGCTTAGAGGGAGCATTGCATCACGACCAATGTCCCTCTAAACTGAGGAGACTTGTGAGCAAAAATTCTACTTCGTGAGCTGCTAGAATTAAAGTTGTGAGCAAGCGATTTGGCTACTGCATAGATTGGTCTGCTCTGGAGCCATCCTTCTTGAACTGAGACAAAACTGTATGAGCCAAGGGCTAAAAAACTGTGAGCTAGCTCACACTCACTCAGCTTAGAGGGAACATTGATCACGGCACACATTCAAATGCCTCGGGGCAACGCCATATGGACTGCAAAGTCACCCCTGAACGGCCATAAATCTATGCAGAAGGTACCCTAAAACCCGATGGTCAAAGGAAGGGAAAGCGGCATGCGATGCAGAGGGGGGTTTATGTTCCAGCGTCGGTTTCGTTAAACGACGGAGGGAAGAGCCAATACAGAATAAGCCACAGTTGCTGGCAGGAGGCGGCTCTGTGCAGCCATTTGACCAAGGGCGATTTCTCACTAGAGCTGCCTCGCAGCACAGCGCCGTTTGCCCCAACACAAACATGTCAATTTCACACGCCCCGAGTCTTCGCCCGATTTCCTCCACAGTTTCATGATCCTCAAAAACCAGGATCACGAAACTGCGGAGGAAATCGGGCAAAGCCCCGAGTCAAAATGCAGCCCCGGAGCTTCGGGTGTGAAATTGACATCTTTGTGTCAGGGCAAACGGCGCTGTGCTGCGAGGCAGCTCTAGTGAGAAATCGCCCCAAGTGTGTTTTTTGATCGGCGTGGTTCCCACTCAAAGGGAATATCATCGAGGTAGAGAAGGGGCAGTAAAGGGCAACCAGAACGATCAAGGTGTCAGAACACTGTCCCTACAAGGGAAGGCTAAGGAGCTTGAGGCTCTTCAGTTTTGGGAGGGGAGGGGAGATGGCTTTATAAGCAGGACAGGATCGAGGTTTATAAAATTATGCCCGGTATGAATAAAGGGGAGAAAACCAGAGGAGGAGAGAATAGTTTTTCTTCATCTCTCAAAGCAGCAGCAGGTGAGGGAACCCAACAAACCAGATGGGCAGAACACTCCAGACAGACAAAAAGATGGACTTCTTCATCCAATGCATAATTGACTTGTGGAACTCACTGCCACTGGATGCAGCGATGTTCAGTGACTTACGCTGTGGCGAAATTTTGTTTCTTAGCTATTAAGAAACAAACTTTTTTCAGCTGAAAAAACGGTGTTTTTGGTGTAGTGGTTAAGTGCGCAGACTCTAATCTGGGAGAACCGGGTTTGATTCCCCACTCCTCCACTTGCACCTGGCTGGATGACCCTGGGCAAACGGTAGTTCTGATAAGAGCTGTTCTTGAAAAAGAGCAGTTTCTGTCAGAGGTCTCTCAGCCCCACCTACCTCACAGGGTGCCTGTTGTGGGGAGGGGAAGGGAAGGGAAACGAGATTGTAAGCCGCTCTGAGACACCTTTGGGTAGTGAAGGGCAGGGTATAAATCCAATCTCTTCCCTCTTCTCTTCTTCTTATCCTTATCCTTTTATTTTACTAATTTTATTAATTGTATCTTGTTAATGTTTTTATACTATTGCTATGTTATTCCTGTTTTAATCTCTCTTGTATCAGAATTGTACTGTTTGACTGGCTTTTGCCAGTACTGGCTCTTGGTAATAAATTAGATCGGATCAGATGCAGCAATGGCTGCTAGCTTCAAATGGCATGAGACAAATTCACAGAGGACAGGTTCGTCAGCAACCATGAGTCATGGCAGCTAAATGGAGCCTCCATGTTCAGAGGCAGTGTACCTCTGGATGCCAATTACAGGGAGGCAATAAAAGGAGGGAGGCAATTACAGGGAGGCAATAAAAGGCTTTGGCCGCCTGGTTTGGCTCGTAGGCCTCCTGGCACTATTTGACTAGCCCCAGTGGAAAATACGACACTGATATCTTTCGGGTATGTTGTAGATATGTAGGGCTATCTTTCAGCTATGCTCCTGCAGAGTGCAGGAGGTTGGACTAGATGACCTGCAAGGTCCCTTCCAACTCTAACATTCTATGATTCTATGACTGTTCTTATCCAGTAGGACTCTTCTTACAACCTTAACTAAGCCCGTGCTTGTAAGGTAAGGAGAAGAGAATTCCTTTCTCTGGCAGCAACTGGAAGTGGGGAGTTCCTTTTGTCTACTGAGTAATAAATGATTCACAGTAACTATTCGCCGCTCGAGATCTATGCATCACAGAGCTTTTATTAGATTAAAGGAAAGGAAAAGAAAAGCGCGGCGCAAAAAGCCGCTTCTGGGGACGAGGCAACAACCCATTCCCACGAGATGCATAGCCCATGGATAAGGAAGGTGCACTCACCTCTTTCTCCCCGCAGATGTGGCTGACGATAGAAGCAGAGGCTGGGCTGGAAGCTGGGCCCAGAACTGAAACCACCCCCTTGGGCAGGATCTGACACACTGCGCAAAGATTAGAAAAGAGTTAGACACGACACAGACCTCACTCCAGCTTGCCTGTTCTCACGGGAGAGTCTTGGACTTTTGACGCACGTCCCCCGTGCGACACCCTCCTTTTCTAAATTGCCCCACGATAAGCGAACGGACTCCCTCACGTACTTCTTCTCAACGCCAGGTCGGATCCCCGGCATCCTGTCTCTGGGCCGGGCGCAAGACTGGAGTGCTTGGGGGCTCTCCCGACAAAACTGACAGGCGGCGGATTTGGGACAGAGGGAAACCTCCTTGGCACAATGCAGCAACGACATGTGGAACTCACCGCCACAAGATGTGGGGATGGGACGGTCAGGTGGCTTGAGAAAGAGGATTAGACCAATATCAGGGAGAACAGGCCCATCCATGGCTATTTGCCATGACCGCTAAATGGAACCTCCATGTTCAGACACGGTCTATCTGAGTACGATTAGGGGGACAGACAACACCAGGCTCTCAACTTCCCATGAGCTTCTTGGATGGACCTTTAACCTCACCGGCTCTTTTTGTAGCAGGTACTCATTTGCATATTAAGCGACACACCCCTAATGTAGCCAATCCTCCAAGAGCTTACAGTAGCTCCTGTAAGAAGAGCTCTGTAAGCTCTTGGAGGATTGGCTACATTAGGGGTGTGTGGCCTAATATGCAAAGGAGTTCCTGCTACAAAAAGAGCCCTGCCTCACCCTATTGTCCTTACCTCCTGGTTTCTTTCCCTTCCCACCTATCTGCCTTCTGCTATCAACCCTCCTGTTTACCCTCCTGTTCCCCACCCCCTGGCAAACCCCAGGCAGACCCACACCGAGGACAACTTGCCCATCCTTCCACAGGATTGGCCCAGCTTAATCAAACTGCCTTTCTTGGCTTGACCTGGACTTGGCTAGCCCGATCTCATCACATCTTAGAAGCTAAACAGGGTCGGACCTGGTTAGTACCTGGATGGGAGACCACCGAGAAAGCCCAGGGTCGCTGCCAGGGGTCATTTCCTGCAGGAGCGCACAGGAGCGGAGCTCCGGCAGTAAAGAGCCCAGGGGGCGGGCACATGCAACAAGCCCCACCCCCTGCTGCCAGCAGCCCTCAGTCAGAGCAAGAAGCAGCCAGGTAAGTTGCAGTGCCTCCCCCCTGGCCCCCCAGTCCAAAACAGTCCAGTGGCACCTTTAAGAACAAGTTTTATTCAGGTACAAGCTCTCCCTCCTCTGTGAGGACAGATCTGCACGTTCCCCCCCCCTCCCAATAGCTAGCAATCCAAAACAGTCCAGTGGAGCCTGAGCGGTGGGTGTTGCCTTCTGACACACTTCCGGTGATGTCAGCGTGTGTGTGGCACATGCAAATAAGTTATGCTAATGAGTTGTGCTAATGAGCTCCCGCACCTCTTTTTCTACGAAATGACCCCTGGTCGCAGCACAGAGGCAGGCAATGGCCAACCAGCTCTGTTTGTCTCTGCAACTGTCCTGGATGGCCCAGGCTAGCACAGTCTTGTCAGATCTGGGAAGCTAAGCAGGGTGGGCCCCGGTGAGCACTTGGATGGGAGACCACCGAGGAAGCCCAGGGTCGCGACGCGGAGGCAGGCCGAGGCAAACCACCCCTGAACGTCTCTTGCCTTGGAAACCCTGCAGCAGCCTGACAGCCCATTCCACCAACAACAACACCTGCGTCTCCGCCTTGCAGATGACCTACTAAAAGAACATTAGCGCTCACGTCCGAGATTTCACACACGCCTGTTAGGAGCAAGCACAGCAAAGGAGCCAAGAGAACTGAGCTGCGTGAGCCGTAGAGGCCGGAACTCAAAGCTCACCTGTGCCACAGATTCACTATCTGGCTCTTGTCTCTCTGTCTGTCTCTCTGTCTGTCTGTCTGTCTCTCTCTCTCTCTGTGTCTCTCTCTCTGTGTCTCTCTCTCTGTCGCAGGATCCCAAGCGCGATCTGTGAGCAATGCTCCTTCTAAGCTGTGGAGTCTCGTGAGCAAAAATTCTACTTTGTGAGCTCCCAGCATTGGAGTTGTGAGCGAGCGATTTGGCTACCGCATAAGTGAGTTTGCTCTGGAGCCCTCCTTCCTGAGCTCAGACAAAAATTAGTTTGCTCCGGAGCCGTCCTTCCGGAGCTGAGACAAAAACGTGTGAGCCGGAGGCTAAAAAGCTGTGAGCCAGTTTGGTGTAGTGGTTAAGTGTGCGGACTCTAATCTGGGAGAACCAGGTTTGATTCCCCACTCCTCCACTTGCACCTGCTGATGTGACCTTGGGTCAGTCACAAGCTCGGGCACAGCTGTCCTTGAAAAAGAGCAGTTTCTGTCAGAGTTCTCTCAGCTCCACCCACCTCACAGGGTGTCTGTTGTGGGGAGGGGAAGGGAAAGGAGTTTGTCAGCCGCTCTGAGACTCCAAGTGAAGGGCGGGGTATAAATCCAATTTCCTCCTCCTCCTCCTCCACTAACTCAGTTTAGAGGGACTACAGTTTGTGAGCAGGGCCAAACTAGGGGGCTTCAGCAGCCCAGAAGTGAGCCATGTTGGGAGGCCCTGTCAGAGCTACGAGGGATCATTCAGCTCGGCCCAGCCCCCAGGGGGGACCTGGGCATCTCCCGGAATTACAGCTCATCTCCCGACTAAAGCGATCAGTTCCCCTGGAGAAAATGGATGCTTGGGGGGGGGGGGGGGGC